TGTTGAACAAATCAGTAATAGTAGACTTGTAGGTGATCAGGGCAGATCTTTTCCTCTCAATGAGTGGCAGCAGTATCTTTGAATGGTCTAAGAAGCAGTCAACATTTTTCCTAGTACTCTTTCCAAAGCTCTTGATTGCCGCATTGTACATACTTGTCTGCAGGACTTCCCATGCATCTGACGCAGTTTCATTCATTCCAGCTATCTTTGCTACTTCTTCATTAAAAAGCCATTTCTTGACAGGATCATTGATTCGACACAAGTCAATACAAGGTTGTACAGCAGTTTTGTTACAGTGGATTGTCTTAGCTTGAAATTTCACTTTGCAGCAGACAAGAGAGTGGTCTGTGTCACAGTCTGAGCTTTAGAAGGAACATGTATATAAGATATCTTTCAAATATGTATGTTTTTTCAGTACCAAGTCCAGCTGGTGCTAGTGCTTGGACCTCAGGTGTCTCCATGATGTTCTTCTGATGTTACCAGCAAAGAAGGTGTTGGTCACTGATAAGCCTTGACTGGCACAGATCTTGAGAACTCTCTGACCATCGTCATTTATATGTTCAATGCCACGCCTACCCAGAATTCCAGGCTAGATCTCAGCATTGGACCCACTACTTGCACTGAAGTCTCCAAGTACTAGGATGGGTTCCTTCCATGGATTCCTGCTGATCAGTTCTTCTAGTTGTTGGTAAAAGCTATTCTTCTCCTCACCACTAGTCTGTAGAGATGGAGCATAGTCACTGAACAGGTTGATGAATCCCTTCTGTAAACTAACTCAAAGTGTCATGATACGTAAGGACACTGCAATCGGAGCTTCACACAATGACAAAAGTTCATTTCTGATAGCAAAACCTTCATCATGCTCCTCCTTACTCCTCCAGGTTTGCCATTCCAGGAAATGGTGTAGTCCTTCTCCCTTACGAAGCCTGTATCTGAGAACCTGAGTTTCCAAAAGAGCTGAAATATCAGTTCTGAAACATGCAAGTTTCAACATCGCTGTTTTCCTCAAATCTGAATTCAGATCAAAGTTGTATACAGAGGACAAACTCCAAATATTCCAGCAAGCAATTCTGGAAAACAGTTGAGCCAGGATGTAAACAATGAGGCAAGACTTATTTAACCCACCTTTTCTAGAGCCACCCTCACACAAGGCAAGCAGGCCATCCCTAAACAAGGCTGCTTAGAAATCTTGGGAGTTGCCCCAGGGCCCTTATGCCTCTCTCGGATCCTTGCAACAATCTTGCTAAGACCTTCAACGAACATGCCTAGGCAAAGTTATGGAGGAGCATAGGCTGCCATAGACCTGTTGTCCCCCCTTTAGACCACTGAGCCAGAATCTAAAAGCCAGCGTGAGTCTGGATGTTCAGTGACACAAAGGTTGTAGCGTCTGCCAGAGAGCCAACCCAGATAGAGCTGCTAGCTGCCTATCACTTCAGCGTGAGCACCTTTTCTGTCAGGGTGAGATCCTTTAGCCATTCTTCACCAACAAGTATCCACAAGGCAGTGGATGATGCAGTTTAACATCTCTTTATTTACTCAATACAGGTCCATTAGGTCAATAGTAAAAAGGCAAAATTGTAATATGAAACTGGAACAGTCTCTGTTGAATTATTCTGAATGTATACAGGCGCTCCTCAGGTTATGCAAACCCAACTTACGCAAATTCACACTTACGGAAAAAGTTCCATAAGCTGTCTTTTTTTTTTTTTTGGCGTAATTGTTGGGTATACGTTCCCGACTTACGCAAAATTCAACTTACACAAGGCATTTCGGAACAGAACGCTTGTGTAAGTCGGGGAGCGTCTGTACTTTAATTTTAGGTCGCTCTAGTTTTTAGGTAAATTAATTAACGTCAGTTCAACAATGGTCTGAAGAAGAACTCCATGTAGCTTGCAAGCTTGTCTCTTTTACCGACAAAAGTTGGTCAAATAAAAGATATTACCTCTCCCACCTTCTCTTAGTTCAACAATGATGCATAAACATTTTCAACTGCATGGTTAAATGATTATTATAACCAATATACCTGGAAGCCAGCAAGATTACTTCATTTTTTCCAACTCAGTTTATAAATTGCCATAATGACTATGCAGGGAACTGTAAGATCTCTTGAAAAAAAAATGTTTTAATATAGCTTGGTCTGTTTTCTTACATGGAATGAAAACACTGAAATGAAACAAAGTAAATATATAAGAATAGTTGTGAGTGGCTAAAATCATTGAGTTGTTCAGACTATTTTGGCCTCAGAATTATTCAGCTTCACTTTCTATACCTTTGACTTAAATTGCTCATGAGAATTCTTTTATCAGATACAGGAATGAACCCTCATAAATTCACATTATTATGATTAGCATTCTATCACTGGATATTTTCCATCACTCCAGGTACTAACAAATCAGTTGTTTTCACATCTGCTTGCAAGTCATATTTCCCTAAAGGATCTCAGAGATCATATTGTTTTTCCATTTTCCAATGTACACTCTCACCTTTTCCCTTAAGGACGTACACAATTCACTTTAGTCAATCAGTTCTTATTGATTGTTAGGTCTCACTCATTCCCCATCTATCTTTGCTTTATTAGATACATGATTTGCTTTCTTTCCATTTGTCTTGTCAGCTACTTGCTGTTCTTTCCACTACTGTTGCCTCATAGTTCTCATTTAAGCTTTGTACTTTTGATCTGTTAACCTTTCATTCCAGCTAAAGCCTAAATTATCCTACTGTTAGCTTGTACCTTTTCTATGACAGATTGTACACTTAAGAGAGACAGTCCAACTTCCAGTGGGCCAGACTACCTCCTTTTAAATCCTTTCCTAAAAGTTAGTTCTTTCATGATATCATCCCAGGTTTCTCTCTCAGATAATGTCTCCACAACTACTTGTGTTTTAGCTGTTTATCCCAGAGATCATATTTGTCTAAGGTAAACTGGAAGCTCCTTGGCACCTATGTAGCACAGGCTTTATACAGTTTTGTGACTGGATAAGCTACCTTTTTTATTAGAGATAAGCAAAGCTACAGGATTCACTTTGCAACTGTCACCACTGAACCAAACCATGCTGGTTAGTTTGTGAGGTTCACATACTTATTCAAGGGAATGACCAGCTGCCTCTTGACACCTTATCTTGACTGATTTCTGAGACACTGACATGCTAGTGGCCAAACATCCCATTCCCTCTTCCTTCTTGGGCCAGGTTCCCCCACCCATGGATCTCCAGGGATGCCAAGTGGCTATTTCCTATTGCAACATCAAGGAGGAAACCCTGATCCCAAAAACCCTAAAGTGTGTTCAGGGGGCAGGAAGCAGCCTGCTCCCCAGACAGGAGAGGAGAAACTGGGAAACACTTTCATTGCAGCCGGCTTCTACACTGATTACAGGGGAAGCCTTATAAATTGCTTAGCAAGGTAACAGGAAACACTGGGGATTCCCAAGTGCCATACATTAGGGCTTATACAACATTGTAGGTGACTCCCCAAGGATTTTTCTAGCTACCAAAGGGAGACTATGGTGCAAGAAACCTCTCACCTTTGCACTGCTGCTGAAGGAATGCAAAGACTGTGTGAGACTAATGACTTTCCAAAGTGAGCAGGATGAAGGCAGGCTATAGCAGAGTCAGGGATCAAAATAAGAGGGAGCACAGGGAAGTGCAGCTCCTAATTATTTTCTTCTCTTGGGCTTGAGTGGGGAGATCAGCTCTCCCTCCTCACACCCCAGTCTATTCCTCCTCCTATCATGCCAGCAAGCTAGAGGTGCTTAGCCAGTATGTTCCCAGTATGTTTCCACTCCACATTAACTCACTCAGATACAGGGGATGAGGCAATAACCTCAAAGAGACTGTACATCAGCCCAGTGTTCTGGACATATTGAACCAGTGACTTCAGAAAAGCCTTCTCCCTGACTTCAGACCAGCAAGACAGAGGGCCTTAGTCACCTCGGAGTTCCCTTTTTCTTGACATCAGCCCAGTCAGCTACAGGTGCCAAGACGGTGAATGACATCAGTGGCCTGCTGCTTGACATCAGACCAGGAAAATTGAGGTGTTGAGCTAGTGACATTACAGATACCTGTATCTTGACATGAGCCCAGCAAACCAGAAATGGTGAACTAGATACCTCACATATATGTGACCTAAATTCAGTCTAGCAAGTTAGAAGTTCACAGCATCCTGTGCTCTGACATCATGCCAGCAAGGCAGAGCTGCTGATCCAGCAACCTCAGAGAAGCTCATACCTTGCCATGAGTCCAGCAAGATGGAGGTGCTAAGCCAGGAATTCCCAAAGACACTTAGTAATCTCACCAAAGCCTTTTCATCAGCCAGCAAGTTGATGGTGCTGAGCTAGTGACTTCACATAGTGGTGTGACTTGACATCAGCCCTGCAATAAACATTTACTGAAGAGGCCTTTAAGTAAGGGTTGGTAGTAGAGGGTGTGCTATGTGGGAGCTCTTTTGCTAGAAGCAGAGGGAAAATTCCACTTTCTCTTACTTTCCTGGGCTTGGGGGGGAATTCATCTCTCCACGTTCCATCTCCTCCTGCTTCTTAGCACTGACTGATGAAATAAGCATTCATTAAGCAAATAATCTAGAATGGAAAGCACCAGGAGGAGCTGGTACCTGGCTGGGGAGTTTATTGGGCTCCACGCCTACCTGCCTTTAAGTGAAGCAGCATTGACACTTGACAGGAGAAAAAGTACTGTACAAACTGGAAGACTCATATCAACCTCATTTCCTCCTCAGGAAGATCTTTCCCTCCCCACCAGCATGGAAGAGGGAGGTCCTTTCTCTGCCCTACACTACGTGGGGGGAGCAATGGTTCTGTCAGCTCCTTTTCCTCTTCTGGAACCCCATGGAGGGATGGGCGGATGGATGTGTGAATAACAAGACAGGTTCCTCTACGTAGTTCCACATTCTAGAAAGTTTAGATCACTTCCTTTTGTGTCACACAAGATGTAAAGACATTTAACTCTATTTGCTCTATTTTCATGTAGTTTAGGGAATTTCAAACTCACCATCTGCAAGAACTGTTTCATAGATGCAAGACAGTGACTCCTCGGCTTCTTCATTCTGTGGTTCATCTAAGAAAAGAAAAATCCTTTAATGGATGACATCTCTCTGAAAACATCTTGAAATGGGCATCTCCCTGGCCAGTCTCCCACAGCTTCTTAAGTTGTTTATTAAAATGTTTAATTCTGTACTCTAGCAAGGACAGCTCTGATGATCATTGGTGGGATGAGAACTACTTTAGGAACAACTTACTTTGGGACAACTAGTTAATCCCAGGGCATTGGCAGATATATTACAGATTTTTTTTAACTGAAGCTACAATAGAGGTTTTCTTCCTCAAAATATTAAACCCTGCTTGTTATTCAGCTACATTCCTCCACTTACATACTAGGAGTGAGTAATGTATTAGATGTTAGTTAATTAGTAAAAAAAAATTTTACTATGTGGAATAGGTAATAAGGTAGCATGAGTGAGAAAAGAAAACTATACTGGCACAGTTTATACTATGAAATGCAAAGCTTTGCCACTCTAACCCCATATGGTCAGTGGTTCAGTCTTCACAGTCTCTACCTGTCACTTTAACCCCAACTTTCTTCTGCACTCCATCACCTCAATGAGTAGTGTAGCAGCTATGCTGCTGTAGGAGCCTGGCAGGGACAATACAAAGCTTGTTTCACAGTTTTATTATTCATTTGCAAATGAAAGTAAACTTTTGTGGGGAGGGTCTCCTTGCTTCTCTCTGCAGCAGGACACGTCCTGAGCAGCATTTGGTAAAAGAAAAAAATCAGCGGCTGCTGGAGGGGAAAAAAGGAGGGTGGAAAATGAGACATTACTTAGATGCCACATGATGGAATCTCTCACTCAAAAATTAGGAAATGCCAGAATTAAGATTGCCTTTAATTCAGCCCCCTTGTGCATGTGCATTAATTACAAAAATCACATATTTTTTTCATATGTCCTAGGAGGATGGACCTGTTCTGGAGGTGATTTGTGGCTGTGTAGTGAAGGAGGTTGTTGTCTGGAGGACCTCTGCCTCATTTGTTACAGAAGTTGGAAGGTGTGCGGTGAATGAGGCTCGGGATTGCAAAAAGAGAAAGAATAGTCTCATGGTTAAGGTCTTGTGGCTAAGGCAGTTGAATGCTGTTCAGAAGAATTGGATTCTATCCAGAACGGGATGAAATTTTTCTACCAAAATTTTTTGGCAAAAAAAAAAAAGCAGATTCAGTGATCCCCAAACATTTAATGAATTCCTGTCAGTTTTGCCAAAGTGTTTGTGTAGAAACAACAAAAATATTCTGAGAAAAAAATCAAAACATTTTGATTTGACCTTTTAAAACAAAATATTTCAATTTTTCAGTTCAAAAAGACTTTTCATTTCAAAAATGTCTTTCATTTATTTTATAACAAATCAAAAATGTTTTAAAATGCTCAAATCTAAAACTAAATGTTTCATATTCATAGAACATTTTGTATGACCCAAAACGTATTTTATTTTTCAACTTCTCGAAACTACCAATGAAGCAAAAAAAAAAAAGTCAGTTATTTGCTTAGTTCTAATTCTATTCCTGCCTCTACCACAGAGTTCCTATGAGATACTAGGCAAATCACTTAAACCAAGCTTTTCAGTGATGGTCAACTAATTGTGTGTTCCTCATTTGGTGGGTACCCAACCTAAGATCCTGGGGTCCAATTTGCAGAAATGCTGGGCACATAGACGCCAACTTTCCCCTGTGCCGGTGGGTGCTCGCGCCCGCCCTGACGCCACCCTTAATTCTGGCATTTCCTACTTTTGATTTGCCTAACTCTGTAACCTTAATAATGTGCTTTTAATACAGGGTGTGTGGGGAGGAGAGTGGTTGTGTGTGTAACAGTAATTTCACTGAAAACTAAGTGAAATTCTGTTCTCAGTTACACCAGTACTTAGGTATCCTAAAGGTTGATTGTCTTTAGTATTATCTTAAGCACAACTTTTTCATTCAATGAAACATAATGACATTTATTTTTCCTAATTTCCCCATGAAGATTATGAATGATGCTAAAAGTTGCAGTCAAAATAGTGTGCCAAAAAGTACACAAAGAATGCATTTCAAATGTTCTTCTGAGCTAATTAATTCTTAGCTAATTAATGAAAATGATTATAATACAGAAAAATGTCAGTGGTATCTTACAAGGAGGATACACACCACCATTTTATAGCCCTAGATTATATAACCTTCCAAAATACTTGCTGGAAATCTTAAGCCCTGCTATTTGGAAGAGTTAAAAAACCTCTCAGATCTGTAATTAAATATTAACTAATGGCTGTCCTCCTTTACACTATACAGTTCATTTCTAAATGCAAACAAACTTGGACTTAGAGGGAAAATAATCATAAAACCACTAATTAATTTAAAAAGTAAGAAATGCATAAACCCATATAAACAGCAGTTAGTAGACTAAATCTGTTCATTAGATTTAGTGCATACAGAATAAGACAGCAACATTTAATTTTCTATTCATTTGAGATATATCATCAGTAAAACTCTTTATAAACTTGTCCTATTAGCTGAGAAATTTTTTTTAAGATGTCAGTGTATTCACTTTACCAGGTGTAAGCAGTTTTCATCCAATTAGTGTCTGAAAGAAGAGGAAAACATTGCATACTCTATACATACTTCATTATCCAAGGGCACAGGTCATCACAAATGGTTAGACACATCAAAACTCAAACTGCCAAAAAAGTTACAGAAATCTGATTATATGATGAGGAAAGGCCTCTGGCTTTTTCAGGATTACGAAAAGAAGGGGGAAGTCAAGAAGTTTAATTAGCAAGAGACTGGCAGTCTCGGGAGCTGGGTTATTGGCTATAGAGTTTTTTACCTCCAGCTCAATTCCAGTCTTTGTTAGAAACATCCATAAAAATTATCATGCCCCACATGAAATGAGTCAGTGATAGCGAGCAAGACAATATCTACATCACAAATATAATGCCACCATCACAGTGGCACCCTTGTAATCAGTCTGCGAAGCTAAAGTTTGACATATCATGGAGATGAACATCTCCGGAAGTCCTAGGAGTTGTCCCCTCAGAATAGTTCTGAGATATATTGGCAGGGCAAAATGGAAAAGCTTACTGTGTGAGTCTGTGGATGAAGAGAGGACTTCAGTTCTCCAACAGCCCTTCCACAAGTAATAAACTCACTGAGTTTGTTTTTGTTTTAAAACAGAAAATTTAATTGGCATTTGAGACATTGCTCACTGAGTACAATGTTTCATTGACTTAAATCGCGTAGAGTGGGGTCCACAAGAAAGGTCAGCATTTCCCCAAGGCCTAGTTCCATTCAGACAAAGGGGCTCTCTCACTGCGGATCCTTTTTAGTTGAAGTTTAGTATCATTTAGCATTTCAGTTTGGGGGTTTTGTTTTTTTGTTTTTTGATAGACTGCTTGCTATTGTCAACGTGGTGAAATCCTGGCCCCAGTGAAGTCAATGGCAAAACTCCTATTGACTTCACTGGGGCCAGGATTTCACCCCCTTGTTAAAAATTATTTAGCACTAATAGCCTGCTGTTTGCTTAAGAAAGTTCACATTTTTATTAATTATTTATAGTCCAGCACTGGTGTGAACTGGACTTTGTAGTCAAATAAGATGATTTATAACGTTATGAAGGGTCTACATAATACATGTCATAGGGGATTCAAAATGCTCAGTAGAACAGGTATTTGAGCATTTGGGACAAATTTATCCCTGGTGCAATTCCAGTGAAATCAGTGTCTTTACACCAGCAATAAATGAATGTTACCCTTTTTATATCAGGAAACTGATACAACAACAGGTTCAGTAGAAATATAGGGGCTTAATTCTTTTTCCTCTGCCCTGAGAAAGTGTAGTAAGCAACTAACTTGAATTTGGTGTGAATCTTTGCCCATTTTAAGCTCTATTTGCCTCAGCTTGTTTGTATTTTGGACTACTAGTTATATGACAACTATAAATTTGCAATACTGCAGTGTTTCAGAGCTGCACCCTGTTAATTGATGCAAAAGCAGTTTTTCTAATGTTGTTCTTTACACGGACAACATGTGTGGTAGTATACTCATTACATTTTAGTCAAGGATTAGAAGTCAATGGCATATTGTTGTCTCAGGCAGAAGATACGTATTCATTTTGTGAGGTTCACTGACTAAGCCAATGGAGAGTGTGGGTACAATTTTCAACCTTGATCACTGCTGTCAGCCAGCTCTCAGCCTAGGCTCAGCTGTCATCTCTTTACATCTCTTGTGCTGGGTCACCTCTGGAACCCCAGCACCTGCCAAGTTTACGGTTCCCCCACAGGAGCTGAGCTCACTCTCGGGGTCCTTTCTGAGTCCAAATACCTCCAGTCCCTGGCACTGCTCCTTAGGTCCAGCTATAGGACACCATCAAAGAGCAGACTTTCAGACCACCTCTCTCAGGGCTGCAGTGCCTGTCTGTCTACCCTAAACAAGAAAGGAGAGTCTACTCTCTGCCTCAGCCTAGACTTGCTAGTAGCCTCTCCTCTTAGGCAACTGCTCTGTGGCCAGCTTCACCTTTTCTAAGCTCCCCTTCTCCAGGTAGCACATGCTCTGCAGGTGCGCCTAATTGGCACTGCCTGAGTGCAGGAATGGTTGTTAGACTTTCTGTCATTGGGATAGGGGCATGTCTGATCACAGTCACCTAATTCCTCGTTTAGGTATCTATGGGGCTGATGTAAGGGACTAAAACAATATAGATTTAGGCATCATTATTTAAGTGCTCAATTTTAAATAAATGGATTTCTCCTGTGTCATGAAAAAAGGGCCCTCTTTTTCTTTGGGAACAGGCTGGTAGGAGAAGAGAAAAGGACTGCTGTGTTTATTTTTGTCAACACCATCAAATAAAATAGAGCCATTAAAGAGAGTGCTAGATGCTAAGATTCCCAAGTCCTAGATAGATTCAAAGTCCTACCAAACAGTCTCCTAAAATAATAAGCTCATTTTAGAAACATTAACAGAGAGGTATCTATAGAGCACAAAATTTTCAAAATCTACCCTCCCTTTTTGCATCTGCAAGATGAGGACAGAAATAACTGCAGAAAC